TATGTGTGTGTATTTATATATACATAATAAATATACACAGTATACCTACATATATTATGTAAACAAAAACTTTATTTTGGACACGATTAATCATTTGACAGCACTATATTTTATTTTATTTTATTGTAGTATTTTATTTTATTTATTAAAATAAGGTTCTTATAAAGTGAACACAAGAACACAAATTTTGAGTTATATTTTGACCTTATATCTTGAAAATATTGGGCTATTATTCTTATGAAAGAAAATGAGAATATATTCTGATGTTTTTTTTTTATAACTAGAAAGTATTGAATTATATTGTGTTCCCTTTCAGTCGGTCACTTCGTCGTTCAAGTTCCGACACTAGGGGTCGCACTTGGGAGCCCAGAGACCTCTGAAATCATTGAGAAAGGCCAATGAAATTAGCGAGCAAAATTTGCATAGCTGGCCACCATATCCGGGTATAAATAGGCCAGCCTGGCATTTGCTCACTCGTTCTGTTCTTCGGAGCCGATGCAACGTCTCTTTTGGAGAAGCAGCACTTCAGTCACCTCTCCATCTCCTCGTTGTTGGATCTATGGCACAAGCAGTGGTTTCTGAGAGTGAGAGTACCCCTGGGTGCTTCAACAGTGATCTTTGAGAGCAAATTTTCATCCTAAAAGAGCAATTTCTCTAAAAGAGCTTCACGGGTAGATTTGTGTGTGTTCACAACATGCCATCTGTGCCCTTCTGGTTGTGGTTTGTGGATGGTTTATGTCATTCTTGTGAGGACATGGCTATCGGCACGTTGAGCTCACGGCTTGTGTTCTTATTTTAAAGAAAGACAGCGAGTCATCTTAGCTGCTTCCCGCCCTTTTACTTCCAGGTACAGGGCCTCAATGACATGCACTGATGGAGAGCAAAGAGATGTTGCGGAAGCAGTTTCGCCGGATGAATTCCCGTGGACCTCTCATTCCTCTTTCTCTTCTTCAGTAGAATTTCTGGGTGAGTTTGAGAACCCGCCTCAGTGCAGGTTTGATCTCTCATTCAGAGCTCGCAATAAAGATGAGTTGTCTATCACAGCATCGGAGGATGGGTCTGACTGATAGAAAGTGGATGACTCTACTGAACTGAGAGTCTGAGACTGACGCTGAGATGGCAGCCGTTCTTACCCGGGCAGCAGAGAGCGCCAGGCTTGAGTGGACTTGTCCACCCTGTCCGGGGCTCTCTCGGTTGGATGGTTCTTGGAGACCGAGTTCCTTTCTTCCTGGAAGTGCACTAGGAGCCAATAAAATCATGGATGGCACCTTTCTGCCATAACACGATATACTGGTCCCTCTGTGCTCACCACCCTTGACGGCGGTCCAGCGAAGGAATATACATGGGTCCCCAGATGGTGAAAGCGATTGCGGTGCATTCAGAGCTGTGTCCGCTCTGCATGCCATGGCTGTCCTGCAGGTGTTTAGGCCAGGGTCTGCATGAGGGTGGTTCCAACCTGGAGCATGCAGGAACTGCATCCGGCGACAAACTATGCCCTCCGAGCTACGGAGTTCATGACTCAGGCTCTGGGCAAGGTGATGTCCACATTAGTGGCCCATAAGCACCACCTGGGGCTCACCCTGACAGAGATGTGGGTTCTGAGAAAGTGTGCTTTCTTAACACCCCCATTTCCCAGGTTGGTCTCTTTGGCAACACCATGAGAGAATTTGCCCAGCAATTCTCGATAGTCAGCAAGTGGGCTGTTAATAGTCATTCAGCACAATCGCAATAGTCATCAATGTCAAGTAGATGAGCTGCAGAGTTGGTGCTGGAAGGGGTGGTGATTTTCTCTTTTAATGTCTTTGGTGGTGATTTCATGAAGTTTGATCAAATACCCTTGACATGGAGCTATATATTATTGACTGATCAGTGTGGATTTTGATGGGTATTACTAATTCTTAAGCATTTAAGTTTTAATAAAAAAATTTTGTAGTTTTATTATTTCTGTATTTTTTAGTATAAGACAAACCAACTAATACCATAAAACATTACAAAATTCATCAAATCCATTGCAAATCCCCAAAAAAGATGATGTCACTTACTGAAGGATGATGGACTTAATGAACTCTTTTTTGTTAGTTAATGAGATTTACAAATGACTGACAGGAGGGAAAATATTTGAAATGATTACCAATGAAAATAGTTTTCCCAAGAAAAAGCTTGCTTTTATTGGCACTTAAAGGGAAAGCCCACCTCATTATAGTACCTCGAGTCAACCAGCTTTGACATTTTTAATCATTCTCTTTTGCTCTTATAATTAATGTAGCCATGATGGTGTTTTTCTAAAAGATGAAGGTTGCATGATTAATCAAGTGAGAAAGCTTTCAGAGATCATACATTTTAATGAACCGTATTACAGTGTGTCGTGTTGTTTTTTAGCACAATGCTATATGAAATTTAATCCATATGCAAACAGTTTGCCCACAGGCCTGAGATGCCATGCGGCTGGGATGTCTCCATGCTCTGTTAAGATTGCTGTGCTAGCACAAAACAACTTCACTAATGGAATCGGTTGAATTGTGAGGAGATGATCCCAGTTATTGATCTGACTGACAAAACAGCATTATAATTCAACATGGTCTGGCTTAACGCACAACAACAGAGAAAAAACAGTCTTGAGTGTGTCTGAATCTTTGATATTGCCCTCAATTTCCAACTCAAATCAATACTTGTTAATAGTCATTCAGCACAATCGCAATAGTCATCAATGTCAAGTAGATGAGCTGCAGAGTTGGTGCTGGAAGGGGTGGTGATTTTCTCTTTTAATGTCTTTGGTGGTGATTTCATGAAGTTTGATCAAATACCCTTGACATGGAGCTATATATTATTGACTGATCAGTGTGGATTTTGATGGGTATTACTAATTCTTAAGCATTTAAGTTTTAATAAAAAAATGTTGTAGTTTTATTATTTCTGTATTTTTTAGTATAAGACAAACCAACTAATACCATAAAACATTACAAAATTCATCAAATCCATTGCAAATCCCCAAAATAGATGATGTCACTTACTGAAGGATGATGGACTTAATGAACTCTTTTTTTGTTAGTTAATGAGATTTACAAATGACTGACAGGATGGAAAGTGAAAGTGGGGACATCGGAAAATATTTGAAATGATTACCAATGAAAATAGTTTTCCCAAGAAAAAGCTTGAAACATTTTAATTACAGTAAAACCGAAGAAGCACCTGGGATAATTCTTAATTAATTGCCAGTTTTTCATGTTAGAATTAGTGCATCTGAGGAAATTGCAATATCTGCTCAGAGCAAAGTAGTGAAATCATTTGAAATGTCTGTTTATTTAATTATGATCGTGTGAAAAGAAAACAAACTAATAGATTAATAGATACGATTTTTCTTTAAATATTGCAAGTACACATAATATATATAATTGATGAAGGATGTATGAAAACTATACTATACGGCATAGAAGGAAACATTTTGCTGCCTCGTAATTGTCATAAATCTACCATTTTAGTTAAAGTGCCTACTAATGTTGATAAAATGATCTTCACAACACCTGTTTTCTACCTTAGGATTGGCTGAGCAAGTTTGGCTATCTCCCACCCCCTGATCCTGTGAATGGACAACTACAGACTAAGGAGGCTTTGACGAGGGCCATCAAAGCCATGCAGAGGTTCGGAGGCCTGAAAGAAACTGGAGTGCTAGGTTTGTACATGCTTAATTTTCATAATAAAATTCTGGTCCACATTGTCCTTGGTTTTTGTCTGGTAGTTTTAAGAGATACCACCAATGTAATTCAGATTGCTTTGTAGTCTCATGTTCATCTGGCTTGCTGCAGCTAGCAGATTTTCATTTGCAGTCTACAGGACCAGAAAAGCACCGCACTATCTGCATTCTGCAATTATGTTTGGATCTGTGTTTATGTGTGCTTGTATGTTTCCCTGCAGACCAAGCAACCTTGGGCTTAATGAAGACCCCTCGCTGCTCGCTGCCAGATATGTCAGAGCCGGATATGTCAGCAGGCAGACGAAAGCGAGCGCTAGCTCCTCAGAATAAGTGGAATAAGAGGCATCTTTCCTGGAGGTACATTCATTTTTGGGACTGAAACTGTCTGAGTGATTCCTGTCAGATAGCTATACATGTCATAGATGTATATGGTACATTTGAATTCCATACATACTTGAATTAAAGCCTTAGTGGTAGTTAGAGCTAATGGAAAGAAACAGAATTAATGAGGCAACAAAATGACAAATCTTGGCCAGGGCTGAAAATTATGAACACAATAGGCTGAAAACTGAAAATGGCATTTTGTGGCAATTTTGACTTAAATTTTTCAGTGGCTGGAATGTTGATGCATCCCTAAAAAGAATTTCAAAACTAGAAAAATATAGAGTTATTGTCAGATTTTATAGCTAGAAAATGTTGTTATATTCTGATTAATATTCTGATTTGATTACTAGACAATTCTGTGTAGATTCTTATTTAGAAAATATTTGGTTATATTCTAATTTTATAGCTTGAAAATATAGGTTTATATTGTGTGTTTTTTTAACAAGAAAATATTGGCTTATATTCTGATTTAATGGCTAGAAAGTATTGGCTTATATTCTGATAGATATTCTGATTTTATAAGTAAACAAATAATGTGTTGAATTCTGATTTTATAGATAATACTGGGTTACATTCTTATAGTATAATATGTTCTGATGTTATCAGTAGTATAGAGTATTGCAGATGAGTGTCCGAAAGCCCTCAACACAGACTGTTCCAATTTCCATCACTGAAACTTTTCAAAATGCCAGTGGTTTGTGAGGCTGAGTCTGTTTTAATGACAGATTGACTGTGTGAATGTGTCTTTTCTTGAAATATGTGTTTATGTTGTGTGTGTGAGTATGTGTGTGTAATATTGGGCTTTGTTTACAGACAGTTGTTTTGGGTTTCATACCATGTTCTTCCCTGTTTCTCATTATAGAAACCCACTGTGATCTCACATTCTCTGTGTTGTCAATCACACAGGCTTACGCTCATCCCACTCACCCTACCTATAGCGTGAAATAAACCCCTGCTACTACCTGTTGTGTTTCGATTGGTAAAACATCAAAGTTTAGGCATGTTTGTTAGTTGTAGGTAGATTTATTTCAGTAGACAGACATTGTCCGTGCTGGGAAATCTATTGCATTGCGATCAGTACAGCATTTTGACTAAGGAACAATTATTGTGGATCATCTAGATATGTTTTCCAATTTGTTGACGATGATTCAGCCCTCATCTGAATGGCTTCATCAGTTGTAGGATAGTAGACATTTCCTGTCATTTAAATACCTGATGAAATAGCTTGGTGATTTTTTTAAAGAAATGAAAAAAGAAAAGTGATTGCAGCAGTATTAATGATAAATATTCCCAAAAGATTCCAAATTCCTAAAAGAGATGTATTTTAAATATGTATATATGATTTAAATATGTAAATATCAACATATATAAGAATGTAACCTTAAGCTAATAAACATGGCCTAACCGGAACAAAGCTCTCAAATGTTTAATTTTAACACACTGCAATATCATAACACCCACAAATCTTAGTGGAAGTTACCTCTCTGGTGTTTGAAAAGTGATGGCTGTGTGAACTAGGGTTAAATTGCCGTGGCAGAAATGAAAGAGCTTTGAAGGCGTGATATTTGTCCTTCATGCTGGTACACAGTCATCTGCTTGTAAAGTGTAAAGCAATTGTTTTTTTCTTGTTGATGTATATTTGTGGGCATTTTTCACGCTTTGTGTTTTTTAAATCATCAGAAAGTAGGGATGCACCGATATGAAAATTTTGGCCGATACCGATAACCGATTATCATGGACCTGTGCAGTTTCATGACATACTGTATATACAGGTGCATCTCAATAAATTAGAATGTCGTGGAAAAGTTCATTTATTTCAGTAATTCAACTCAAATTGTGAAACTCATGTATTAAATAAATTCAGTGCACACAGACTGAAGTAGTTTAAGTCTTTGGTTCTTTTAATTGTGATGATTTTGGCTCACATTTAACAAAAACCCACCAATTCACTATCTCAACAAATTAGAATATGGTGACATGCCAATCAGCTAATCAATCAGCTAAAGACCCCTGAGGATGACGAGCATGCAGATGAGCTTCCCTGAGACGGTTTCTGACAGTTTGTGCAGAAATTATTTGGTTATGCAAACCGATTGTTGCAGCAGCTGTCCGGGTGGCTGGTCTCAAATGATTTTGGAGGTGAAGATGCTGGGTGTGGAGGTCCTGGGCTGGTGTGGTTACACGTAGTCTGCGGTTGTGAGGCCGATTGGATGTACTGCCAAATTCTCTGAAGTGCCTTTGGAGACGGCTTATGGTAGAGAAATGAACATTCTATTCATGGGCAACAGCTCTGGTGGACATTCCTGCAGTCAGCATGCCAATTGCATGCTCCCTCAAAACTTGCGACATCTGTGGCATTGTGCTGTGTGATAAAACACATTTTAGAGTGGCCTTTTATTGTGGCCAGCCTAAGGCACACCTGTGCAATAATCATGCTGTCTAATCAGCATCCTGATATGCCACTCCTGTGAGGTGGATGGATTATCTCGGCAAAGAAAAATTGTTTGTGGAACGATGTATGTTAAAAGCACATGTCCAGTTTTGTGTGAGTGAAGGAAATCTGCTTGGGAGTGGAGAGATTCGTCCTCGCGCACATGGATCGCGTAACATTATGCGCTCTCGACATTGTCATTAAGATCACACTACAGAAACCACCTAAAATTAGAAATTTACAAAAAACAAGCCTATGGCAAGACATTTGGCAGGGGGGGCACCCCTGGCCACCACGTAGACACGCCCCTGCCAACACATACACATGGTTCGGAATAAATTGCTTAAGACATCTGACCTCATAGACATGCAACTTAATAAACGTTTGGCTTTCTGACTCAGCAGAGTCGTTGGAGAGTTTGACAAGCGGCTTCTGCTTTAAGACTACACAGGAAGCATGACATCCCCTAAAATTTCCTGACAAAATGCAGCAATGATGTTTATTTATAAACAAATAATATACATAGCTATTTTAAATATCACTCTGGGTACATTTCAATACTGTAGTGGATAAAAGTGGGATATATTACACAACACTGGCATGCTGGCCTTTGAAGATCATTTTATGTGATGTGTGTGACTCATAAAGCATGAAACATCATATAGTGAGTGTTCAGAGATACAGATGAAGATAGAAGTTTTAGCTTAGCATTTATAATCTGTTTTTTGACGTTTTTGTAAATATTGCAGTTCTTAGCACTTATAAATCATTTCACTGTTTAGTTGTTTGAGAAGCAGCTTTTTGGGAGCAACATTGTGTAGGCCTGTTATTTTAGATGTTGAAGTCATATATTTGAAGATACCTACACATTTAGCAGTTTGATAACTTATATCTGTGCTTCATTACATTCCTTAGTCTGTTGCCCTCAGCTTTTGGATTATTTATGTGTGACCTTAATTTTTGCTTGAGCCTGCCTTCCCTGTGTTGATGAGTTTGAACAGACCTCACCATGTGACCTCCACAGAGCCGCCCAGCACTGACTGGGGTGAAATGACTCCTATAACGGAGATGGGAGAACTCTATCAGTTCCTGTACAATTCATGTCAGGAGCTTTGCACCCTGGTTCCGTTGTAGCGACAGAGGTGCGCCTGTACACCAGCTGAGAGGCCGGTCACTGTAATAAAGCCTATAATGGCTTGTTTTAGAAGCAGTGATAAAAGGCCTTTCCAAGACAATTGAAAAGTGTGTAAGGAAAGAGACAGACAGACAGGAAGGGAGAAAGACTATGATGGATTCTGAGTAATTATTGCACTGCACCATCACAGGTTTGTGTGATGAGATAGTCTTGGGAAAGAGAAGAGTTCATAAGAGAGCAAAATGTACCTACAGTAGAAAACTATGAGCTCTGATCAGCACAGGCTGACAGGTTTTGGCCTTTTTATACACATCAAGATTCTTAAGGGAATCAATTGTTTCTACTATTATATTGCAGATAATATCTAAACATCCTTAAATATTAATTTACTTACAGCAAAATATGTAAGACAATATAATTTTATTATCCCTATCCCATTGCAAAAGTTTTTCCCCCTAGTTTTTTTCTTGCATGAACACTTAGAGTGGATTTCGTTAAATAGTTATATAAAAAAGCTGCCTTCTTTTAACAAAACAATTTTTTTAATGAATTTTCATGCTTTTTTCACCCATATAATGAAATGTCGTAATCATTTCATAATGACCAAATTATTGAGTTGAACTCGGGAACCAAAATCAATGAATGAATCATTCTTTTCAGCAGACTCAATCAGAATCAGTCAGACTGATTCATTCATGGTTCAGTCTGAATTGTTCATGAAGTGGAGTTCAACTCACTGACTCCATTCACAGGGGTTCTTGAGTTAACTTGTCAGTAAAATTAAAGATTGTCAGTTAATAATTACTTTATTATTTAATTAGTTACTAGTTTCTGTTCCTCTCAGAAAGCTTCAGAAGACTCAGAATACAGTGTACAAGTCATGTGGTCCACTTTTATGACATTCTTTTCAGTCACTATAAGTTTGTATGGATATTGAGATTCTTTCAAATATCTGAATTTTGAGTGACATGAGGGTGAGTAAAAGCTGACAGAATTTTTATTCTGGGTGAACCAATACCCTTAAGTTTTTGAAAAAAAAATTTGTTTAAGTTTCTTTGCACAAAGTATTACTCTTTTTCTATTTTTCAGACAGTTTACTAGTCTAGACAGTTGGATGGTCTCTCAGTGAACGCTAATGAATAAATAATTAATCGGCCTGTAAGAATGCAGGTTCAGAGGTCCAGCTGTCTACATATGTATTCAGAATGCATTGACCATCAGTCACAAGCCGAGACGTCCTCTCATCATGACTCCATCACGCCACGTTAGACCCTCACCATTCTCTAGGGCCACCGCTTGCTCGTTAACACACTCATTAATTACCCAAATAGATTAGAAGTGATTGCTTTGAAGACAATATGTCCCCCCCCCCCAGACTCACGTTGTGTGTCCCAAGCTGATTAGTAATAGGGAGCAGAGTGAAATGGCTTTATGATAAGCATCTCTTTTCTCACCACCCTCCATTACTCCCATCACATTTCTGTCGATCAAACCCCTTGACGCTCCTAATCCTTTCCGTGCTGGATGAAAATGGGAAAATTTCTCACAATAGCTCAGTACGCTCTGGGGGATACCCAATGAGAGTGTGAAGGAGCTGTTGTGTGATTTCGCTATCATGGGCATCTATGTGTTCGCTTGAGCATCTAGCCCAGATGCTGATTGATTCATGGATCAATTGATTAATTGAAAAAAAATTACTCAAAGGAATGATTAATTCATGAATTGGACATTGCTACTTCTTTAAAAGAAAAAAAAACTCTGATGAATGCCAAGATGGATATAAAGATTTTCAGTGAATAACATTACATTTCTGTGTGTTTCATAATTTTACAGAGACTATTTTGAGGAATAATTCCTTTCAAACCCCTGTCTGGCTGTGTGTCACTTAGCGCCTAGTTGTGAGTGTGGAGGATTGATTTGATATGCGATTAACACCATACAGTAAATGTCCTGTCTGGACCACTGATCTGCATGGGTCAGACCCGCTGTGAGAATTACCACAGAATAGAGGAAATTAGTTATTTTGAACTTGTTCCCCCTGATTTCTATTGGTCATTTTCTCTCTTTTCATCCCTTTCCCCTCTTGTCCGTCTAATCAGTCTTGTATCACATGGAGACAAAGAAGGGGGATTGTGACTGAAAATTAAACTTCAACATTTGGGCGTTTACATGCTGCTGGGATGGCCAATCTTCCCAGAGGCACTTTTTCAGGCTTTCAGGTTAGCTGCCACTGCTAGTGCCTGTATAATAACCAGACGACATGAAGAAAAAAACAGCCTTGATTATTCTCCAATTTATGCCGGCCGTCTATTGAAACCCTGCCGAAGGCACATTATAGCGAAAATTGATGGAAAATTGAACTAGAAATTCCTACCTCCTTCCATAGCGCCCTACATTTTCATGTGATCTCGTATTAGGGTCATCATACTTTGGCTAGGACAGACTGAACTTATTGCATGTAAGCCTGTTCTAACAGGAAATTTCAATGAAACAGAAAAGATTGCATAAGAATAACAAAAAACTGCACTAATGAAATAATTAGGAAACAATTGCAGGAACCCCAGAAAAGTCTACTATCCTAAACTTATTTTACCTATAAAAAAAGAAAGAAAGAAAAAAGACATGCAAATATTTGTCCCCACACAATCATAAGTGTATTTATTTTCTTTCTTACTGTTAACTTAAAGATGATAAGAAAAAAAAATATAATGTATTTCACAAACTGATATTAATTTTATCAAACGAAATATTTCATTTAATACTTAATTTAATAAATAAATATATTTTGTGTGTGTGTCTGTATTATTATATAACTGTTAGAATTATTTATAGTAATTATACTTATTTTTAATCACACACACACACACATAATGTGAAAAAAATGATTATAATATATTTGCTCTGTCTATATCTTTTTTCCCCAAAAAAATTTTTCACAGAAACTTATTAGTTTTTTTTTTTTCAAAATAATCAGAAATATTTTTTTTAACATGCAGGGTTGTGTGATAAATGAAGACCGAAACTTTCAAGCTTCAAAACGGATGCAGAAGCTTCATAAAATTGGTCCAATGTGAAATACTTAATTTAATAAATAAATATATTTTGTGTGTGTGTCTGTATTATTATATAACTGTTAGAATTATTTATAGTAATTATACTTATTTTTAATCACACACACACACACATAATGTGAAAAAAATGATTATAATATATTTGCTCTGTCTATATCTTTTTTCCCCAAAAAAATTTTTCACAGAAACTTATTAGTTTTTTTTTTTTCAATCTTGCTGCTAAAATACATATTTTTGGGCACATTTCCTGCAGCCCCTTTGTGACACTTGACCTAGACTACGATTATCTCTGTGGCCATCCTGGAGTTCCCTGTTCAGTAGTGATATTTGCCATGAGTCTCAAGTGGTTCTAGGCCAAACATGAGCACAGATTTGACACCCTTTCACCTGAAATTCCCTTTCATACTTTGAATTCGTATTCTTTGCTGTGTGTGAAATGCTTTGGATGTTGTGGGAGAATGTTAGCACACAAAAAGGTCACTTAGCTCATTGGAAATGCAGCTGGGGGCAGCGCTGACCTTGGGACGGCGCTACTGTGCATCTCCTGCCTTTCCTTTTGAACCAACCCACTGTAAACTCAACCGTTATCACATACTGTACATCGCCATAGAGCTTGACAGAATCTACATGTTGACCTTGAGCAACCGGTGCGAATATGCTACCAGCACCCAAAGTGCCCTAATAACTCCATTGGGAGAGTCAGTGTTCTGTAAATGTAATAGAATGCCTGAACCCAGTGCTTGTGCAGAAAGGATAAGTGTATTTTGTGCAGAGGGCACACATTTTTGTGGGCACTTACAGAACTGGCACTCTGAAATTAATTTCTCATCGATCTGTCTCTGTACATGGAAAGAGGGCTCAAATTGCCCTTGGAGGAAGTGATTACCATGATTGTAGGGTGTATTGGACCTCCAAATCACCCTTACTTTTTTCTGAAATACCTTGAATGAAAGAGAAAAGAGGGAAAAGAGGAAGAAGATGTTTTGTAACTCCTAAATGTATTACCGTTGAACTAACTCCGAGTTAGAAAGAGCCGCGAGACAGGCTTTCAGAGCCGTTTTTGACAGCCTGCTGCATGTCTTGTCCTATTTATGCGTTCAAAGCGGTGTTGAATTTATCTTCTAGCACTGTCGGTGGTCTTACAAAGGGATTCTTGTCTATTTCAAGCCGATGTTTCAAACATGAACTCATGTTTCTGCTCTCACAGGGTAAGGACGTTTCCAAAGGAGTCAGCTTTGCTGGGCCGGGACATGGTGCGGGCGCTTATGTACTATGCCCTGAAAGTGTGGAGTGACATCGCTCCTCTCAACTTCCATGAGGTGGCGGGGAATGAGGCGGACATTCAGGTTGACTTCACCAAAGCGGACCATAATGACGGATACCCTTTCGATGGACCCGGTGGCACAGTAGCCCACGCATTCTTTCCCGGCGAACGATTCACAGCGGGCGACACGCACTTTGATGATGATGAAGCCTGGACCTTCAGATCGCCAGGTAAGACAGCATGAGATCTATAAATGAGCAGCAATGTATGTTGCGTTATTCGCTGTGTTCAGCCAAGGAGCTATATGTATTTTTTTTTTTTATAAATGAATTACTTTAATTATTTTTTTTAATTAATTGTCGAAAAAGCTGATTCATTTATAAAAATGTTACAGTACTGTTCAAACATTAGGGGTCAGTAAGATTTTTTCAAATAATTTTTTTTTTTAAAGAAGTCTCTTGCTCACCAAGGCTTCATTCATTTGATCAAAAATACAGTAAAAACAGTATTACTGGGAAATATTATTACAATTTAAAATAAAATATATTTTAAAATGTAATTCCATCCTCTATGTCAAAGCTGAATTTTCGGTAGCCATTTCTCCTGTATTTAATGTCACATGATCCTTCAGATATAATTCTTATATGCTGATTTGCTGCACAAAAAAACATTTCTTATTATTATCAATGTTAAAAACAGCTGTGCTTAATATTTTTGTAGAAACCATAATTTTTTCAGGATTTTTTGATGAACGAAATTTCAGAAGAACAGCATTTATTTGAAATAGGAATGTTTTGTAACAATGTAAAAGTCTTTACTCTCACTTTGATTAATTGAATGTGTCCTCGAGGAATAAAAGTAATAATATTTTTTTTTTAAAACTGATCTTACTGATCCCAAAGCAGCAGAACAGGTTGAATAACTACATGTAAATGTGTTTTCTGTTTTGAACAAAAAAAAATATGCAAATTGAAGGATAAATATAAAAGTAAATATATAAAAACAAAAATATGCTATGGTTTGTGTACCAAAAAGTAACTATATATAACCGTTGAGAAATGATTGACAGGCAAAGATTGTTTCTGATTGGCTAATGGTCTAACTGGCTAAAAAGAGTGCTGTCTACTCCCGAAGTTCCTTTTTTTTTTTTTTTTTCTCAGACTGTCACAGAGACAGGTGTGATTTCTCAGGACATCTTTTTCTGTCAGGTAATTGAGACATTTTGTGTGCAATACTCCAAATCTGGATCCTGAGCCCAAGTGGCAGGGCCTGTCTGAAAGCAACAGATGCTCTTGTCTCAGTTCTTCACTCTTCTCTCATGGGCCATAACCAGACTCGACCATCTCCAAGATGCACCACCTAGGTAGCCAAAGGTGCACATGTTTGCCGAGAGGCTGCGCTAACCAAGAGGCTGATAATTAGCATGGGTGCAGGTGGGTTTCCTTTTACCCCATCCTGCCCAGTCAGTGAACCCTGATGGAATTGGTTCAAACGACCCTTTGCATCCCTACTCTGCTCTCTTGTGGCTATGGGCCATATGCTCATGGACAGCCGTAGAGTCTGCCCCAATTAGGCCCCCCATCAGACGAGCAGCTGTTTGCTCCGTCCTTTGGCAGGTGCAGATGTAATATGAAGGACTGAATGAAGAGAGAGAGAAAATGAGAGAAAGAGAAATGGGGAGGGAAAGGCCTACTTAAAAATCACAAGCCTTTCACGACCCACTTACACCATCTCGACATACACAGCTGAGCGTCAGACCCACTCCTCCACCTCTTTGTGTGTGATCAACTGACCCTTCACCAAAACACTGCCATTTCCATGTGTCTGCTTCATTAGTTGTCCATCTAATGACCACCTGCACCTGGACCTCCCATATGCTCATCAATTATTCCTAACTCATCATCACCAGCCATTATTTATAATGCGGCGTTGTAACAAGCCCAAGATCTCAGCCAAAAATTTCCCAATTTACTGTGTTATTTTGGGCTTTCCATCTGCCCTCTAAGACTGTCCAACAAGACTATCCTCATTTTTTGTCTGTTTATATAAATGTCAGACCTCAGACCCCACACTTTATGTTGTAGCCTAATGCGCCAGTGCTTTAAATAATTTTTTTTTCACATCAGTCAACACTTCATACCCATAACAACAAGGCAAAAAAAGACCAAATCTGATTTCTGCTTTGTCTTTACTTGTTTACTTTGTGTATATTTGTAGCAATAGCCAAAAATACATTGTATGGGTCAAAATTATTTATTTTTCTTTTATGCCAAAAACCTATAAGATATTAAGTAAAGATCATGTTCCCATGTAGATATTTTGTAATTTTCCTACGGTAAATATATTAAAACTTAATTTTTGATTAGTAATATGCATTGCTAAGAATTAATTTGGACAACTTTAAAGGCGATTTTCTCAATATTTAGATTTTTCTGCACCCTCAGATTCCAGATTTTCAAATAGTTGTATCTCAGCCAAATATGGTCCTATCCTAACAAACCATACATCAATGGAAAGCTTATTTATTTATTTATACAGCTTCCGGATGATGTATACATTTTGTAAATTTTGTAAAATTGACCCTTATGACTGATTTTGTGGTCCAGGGTCATATATGTGATACACATATATTAAAATATATGTTAAAATGCTTTATTTACAGCAGCCTTTATTGTTATATTTCAGTTGCCCTTACTCCAGTCTTCAGTGTCACGATCCTTCAGAAATAATTCTAATATGAGGATTTGGTTATTATCAATGACTACGTTTACATGGACATCAGTAATCTAATTATTTACCTTATTCTAAATAAGCCAATATTATGATTATGGGGTTTACATGAGTTTCTTTTAGAATACTCCTTTCATGTTCCCGTTTTACATGTTATAGTACATAGTTCGATTAATGGCACACGTCATTACGTGCCCACGTGACGCCATCCGACGTCCCCTCCAGAATTTCACGTATAAACATATTTCGTCTTCGTGATGATGCCATATACAGTTTTGGGTGTTTCATTTTTAATTTTATGAAAGCTTCAAGTGCAGTTAATTATTTGAAAGTCGTATACTGACGACGGCGGGCGTTGAAGCTCTTTTATTTGCCGTCAAACGGTTGAGCACTGGCGTGTGTGTATCCTGTCGCAAAAAGCGGCGAAAAGTCCTACACGACAGTAATAATGTGATTAAGGTGTTTACATGTCTATTCTGCACTTCAGTAATGTGACTAAAATAGGAATACTCCACATTATTCGATTTCTGTTTACTACGATTATGACTTTAGTCGGATTAAGGTAATCAAAAATCTCTGTTTACATGGTAGATTCTTAATCAGAGTATTGTCTTAATCGTATTAAAATCTGAGTATTGTTGGCCATGTAAACGTACTTAATGTTGAAAACAGTTGTGCTGCTTAATATTTTTGTGGAAAGTGTGATTATTCAAATAGAAATCATTTCTTTACATTATAAATGTCTTTTTTAAAATGTTTAATGTACCCTTTCTTGATACAAGTATTAATTTCTTAAGAAAATCTTGCTGACGGCAAACTTTTGAACAGTAGTGAATATGCACTCATCCACACACACACATACACACACACAAAAAA